AATCATTATATATCTGATTATTACTAGTCACAGTTACTTTCTGAGCTCCTTGGCATCTGAGCATGGATATAAAGTCAATAGGTAGATTTCAATGGTAATGTTTCTCATATCTACTGATTATTAAGGAGCAAATTTTTTATGCTTTGAAGAATTTTTTTTTTATTTAATAACCACATGATTAGAAGAAGCATTTCATTACAGTTTTAACATATTCAGTAACACTCCAGATCAAGGATACATCTCTTTCAAAATTGGCTGTAAATTTTTAGGTTCATAGTTGAATTGATACCTTTATACAATATTGAACTTAGTGTAAACCCTGTAAGACATAAAATTGAATGAGTTTTTACCCTTTAAAGAAGAGCTCCATTTCATTTTAAAATATGCTGTTTCCTACATTTTTAATGCTACTAACACTTAAATGTTTGCATGTGTCTTTAATCTCTATGTATCTGATGATTACTAGTCACAGTCAGTTACACTCGGGTCCTTAGGATCCTGAGTATGGATATAAAGTCATCAGTCATGAAACATTATCAGATTTCACTGGTAATGTTTCTCACCTCTACTATTTAACATGAAGGAAATTTTTATGCTTCCTCCTCAAATATGTCTTTTTTTTTTTTTTTGTTTTTTGGAGACAAGTTCTCCTGTTAGCCCCAGCTGTCCTGAAACTCACTATGTAGACCAGGCTGGCCTCGAACTCACAAAGACCCCCCTGCCTCTGCCTCCCAAGTGCTGGGATTAAAGGCATGCGCCACCACGCCCAGCCTATAAGTCCTTTTTTTTTAATTTGTTGATTTTTCTGTGTGTATATCATACAGACCATCCCACACAATCTTATTCATCTATTCGTCTATTACCCCCTTCCCAAATGGCACCCTCCCATAGCCTCCCCCCTCCCACATACTCTGTCATCCCTGTTACTGTCCACTGTGTTGTCAACACCCCCAGCCATTCTCCAGTGCTTGTCCGTCTGCTGAATCTAATCAACCTATCTAGAGATCTTTGTTTTAGGAACATCAGCCGTTCCTCATCTAGCAGCAGTCAGTTGTCAATATTCCTTTAGATCAAACTGGGGTCTGCTGTTCATTTTCCCAGTTCTGTGCTGGGTTACTGTCTGGGAGTCTCTTGTACCACCTTGGCCAATAAAACTCGAAGGTATCTCCTGTCTGGCATTGTTTCTTGTTGTATAGCCTTTAGCTATACATATAGACTCTTAAAAATTATATTGGCCCAATTAATCTTTGGTTATACTTTCCTTTTGTGTGTTTAAGACCCTACAGTTGGCCCAGATAAAACAATTTATTTTTACTCTTCAGGTCGTTTGAGGATCTGTTCCTCAGGGATAACATTCGCTTTCCTAGAGCCCCTGGCTCCTTTCTTTTACCAGTTCCATCTATGTGAAGATAAGTCAAAGGTCTTACTCGCTCATGGCTGGCTTCGCTTGGAAGCATGGAGGAAATGTTTCTTCTGTGTTGACCCTCCTCTTTGTAGACTGGTCACTGGTTCAGGTCCATCTGGTGGGGTCTCCATGGCCTCCTTGCTCAGGAGGACAGGTGACTCACCACAGTTATAGGACATTTTGAGAAATGCTCATAGTCCCCTGGAACTTATTCAACCTAGGGGGGCAAGGAGCAAAAATTGTCCTTTATGTCCCCCTGACCAAATTAGTATAGGCCTCAAAGTATGGCTGTTAAACATCCAAGAAGGTTAGTTCCACCAGTCTTATATTTTTAATTACTCATATGCCATGTAGATAGAGCTTGGGCAAAGACCAAATGCTCTCAGATAAACCTTGAGTAGGCATGTATTACATTCTTTGATCTGGTTGTATGTATAATTTGTCAGCAGGTTGTTGGACTAATATGGTTCCCTCTGGTTTTCTAAAACTAGCTAGGCATTGTTTATCTCTCACATTGTCTAACCCTTCCATCATGGTTTCTCCATTTAAGGTGCCCCTGTTTTTTCCATTTCTCCCTTAATAATACCTGGGAACGGCATTTTTATCTTACATATATGAGTGTTGTGTGTGCATGTGTGTAAGTGCACAAAGGGCATGTGATACCTGCAGAGATCAGAAGAGGGTGACAGATCCCCTGGAACTGGAGTTACTGATGGTTGTGAGCCACCATGTGGGTGTTGGGAACTGAACCCAGGACCTCTACAAGAGCAACCAGTACTCTTAACCCCTAAGCCATCTCTCCAACCCCAAAGTAATTTAAACTTTAAGCCCTGGTTTGTTTTGCGGCCTCAGTAATGTATCGGCAGAGTTGGGTTCAGACACTAGAAGTGGGCAGCAGCAGCTCCATGGCCCCCATCCTCCCACCTGCCCCACTGATAGGCTTGCAGTGTAAACAACAGCAAATTGCACTGCAGGCAGCCTACCTCTCAAAGCTAAGAACTTAGAGGCTGAGTGTATGGCTGCTGCTGGAGTAGTTCTGGAAAAGGCAGAGAGATGCCCAGAGAGCCTTCACACTACCCTGGGTTGGATTCCCAATTCTACAACAAACAAACAAGCAAACAAAACCTTAAGGGTGGGTGTTAGAGAGATGGCTCAGCAGTTAAGAGCACTTGCTACTCAGTCTTGAAAACCAGAGTTCAGATCCCAATACCCACATCAGGGGGCTCACAGATGCCTGTAACTCTAGCTTCAAGGAATCCAAAATCTTCCTTTGCCCTCCACATGCACACACACATATAATAAATAATAAATAAATAAATCTTTTTTTAAAAACCCTATTTGGAAGCATATATGAGGGAGTATAAGTGAACTTTTTCTTTTTGGCAAAGTCTCACTATGTAGCTCAGGCTGTCCTGGAACTTGCTGTGTAAACCAAGCTGGCCTGGAAATCACAGAGATCCCCTTGCCTCTGCCTCCCGAGTTCTGGGATTAAAGATATGCACCACCACACCTGGCAAGTAAACTCTTTTAACTTGTAATTTATATGATAGATTTGAGGGAGGGGTGTCTGCTGAGTAACCCAGAAGAGGGTGTTGGATCCCCTGGAACTTGAGTTACAGACTGTTGTGAGCTACCATGTGGGTGCTGGGAACCAAACTCCAGCCCTCTGCAGGAGCACATACTCTTAACTACTCAGCCATCTTTCTAGCCCTAAGAAAGTATTTTCATATTTTTCCAGAATATCTTTCATAGGCCCATGATTCTGATTTTTCATTTCAGTAGACCACTTCTGAGGTCCTGTGGCATTAGCATTTCCTAACCCACCCCAATAGGTTATAGGGTAGGGTAAAGAAGAGCTATGAGGGACACCTGGGCCCCAGCACCAGGGCTCAGAGCCCCGGGCAATGTGGAAGGGTCTGGGTGTTGCTCAAACTCTTGTCTAGTTACCTGATAGCTGGGCTTGGGGTAGAACCAAAGAACGTTATTTGGTTTCCTCTGGATTTTTTTTATTTGGCCCAAATGGTTTGTGTTCTGCATTTGACAGAAGGCCAGTCCACTGACTTATTCGTTCCTTTTATCTGTGTTGTTGGGCACATGTTTAAACTCCAGCACTTGTTTAGCAATAATGGTACCTGCCATACTTGTAATAGCCTCAGAAGATGCTTCACATCCCTTCCCTCCACTCCCAGAAAACTCCCCCAAACTCAGCCTTTTGTCTTTTGTGTTTTGTGATGCTGATGATCTAACAGGGACTTGAGCTTGCTGGGACCAAGCAAGCACTGTACCATTGAGCTATAACCTGGCTCTTCCAGCTGTCTCTGGAACTGCTCTCTTGAGTGTTCTAGGTGGGCCCTTGGATGGCTCTATGTTATCTTCATCAAGATGTTATCATATACTATCCTCATCAGTTGCTGTGCCTACCTTATCCTCTAGGCCCTGAGGAGGTAGAATGTGGGACACAGGTCTGTACATCTGGTATAACAAGTCACAACAAGAATCAGCTAGAGATTTTCCCATAGTACAGTGTATTAGTCAGCTTCAAATTACTATAATGAAATACTTACAGAAATTTTAAAAGGAAAAGGCTTATTTATCTCATTGTTTTTGAAATTCAAGGTCCACGATTGAGGAGGGGCTGAGAGAGACATTGGTTTGGCCTGTTTTAAGAATGGCACATCTTGGTGGGAGCATATGGAGGGGCAATGCCCTGTCTCAAGCCAGGAAGCAGAGAGATTGAGCAGGGTTCTACATTCCCTTATGTAGACACACCCCAGTGACCCAAGGACCTCCCACTAGGCCACTCCCTTTTTATTTTTTATTTTTTATTATTTATTTATTTTTTATTATTTATTTTTTTTATTTTTTTATTTTATGCATATGAGTGTATTGCTTGCATGTGTGCAAGTGCACCCATGTCATGCAGTGCTTGCAGAGGTCAGAAGAGGTTGTCGGATCCCCTGAAACTAGAGTTATGGACAGTTGTTAGCTACCATGTGGGTGCTGGGAGTCAAACCCTGGTGGTCCTCTGTAAGAGCAGTCTGTGCTCTTAACTGCTGAGCCATCTCTCCAGCCCCTAGGCTGCTCCTCTTAAAGGGCCTTACTACCTCCCAATACTGCCACCCTGAGGACCAGTTTTATGTATGAACTGGGGTTGGGGGCTCATCCAGACTCTGTACAGCATTCCCAAAGTGAAGTAGGTGTGCCATTTTTGTTGACTAAATGAGGTGAATGAACTAGCCCATCAGGCTCTGAATGTCTTAGATTTAAATTTTCATAAAGAAAAACACTTTTTAGCCAGGAATAGTAGAAAATGCCTGTAATCCTTGTACTTAGGACATAGAAACAGGAAGATCAGGTGTTCAAAGTCATCCTTGGCTACATAGTGAGCTGAAGGCTAGTCCATAGTACTTGAGTCCTATAGAAGGAAGGAAGAGACAGATGGAGGGAGGGAGGAAGGGAGGGAAATTTTCAGTAATAGCACAGGTGGTAGCTAGGGCTGGGAGAGGGAAGGGTGACTGGTTAGTAGGTACTGGGACTCCTTTTGGGGTGATAGGACTGTTTGGATCTAGAAAGAGTTAGTGATCACACCACATCCTGAAACTACTGAATGCTACTGAGTTGTTCTTTCTAAGGTTTGTGTTGTATAATTTTGCCCTGTAATTAGTAATAGTGTAGGTAGGACACAAACCACATCCATAGTACAAAATGGCCATCATTTTCCAAACAGTGCTGTAAGATAGCAGGTGTCATAAGAGGTAGGAAAAGCAAGAGATCTGAGGGTGATGCATGGAGACTCACGGGGCCAAATGTTCTATGAAGTTTTCCAGAGAACAGATTGTCTAATTGCCCTTAGGAAGATGCCTACTGAAGAAATCAAAGATACGCCTTGCTGAGTATCACTCACTGTAAAACTGTACTGGGTCCAATGTCTGGGTGGCACTCAGCCTTTGTGGAATCTGTTAGCTTTCCATTGCCTGAGAAAGTCAGCTTGAAAGGAGGAATCATTTATTTTGACTCACAGTGTCAGAGGTTATAGTCCATGTTTAGATTGCCCTGTTGCTTTTCGGTGTGTGGCAAGGTGGAATGTCATAGCAGGGAGTGTGTTCGGAAGAAAGCTGCTCATCTCATGTCAGCTGGGAAGCAGAGAGAAGGGCCAGGCTCCCAGGATCCCATTCCAGGGTACACTACCAGTGACCTAACATTCTATCACTGAGCCACTCCCCCTAACATTTCTACTACCTCCAATAGGGCCACAGGCTAGTAACTAAGCCTTTAACCATGGGCCCACGGAGATATTTAAAATCAATCCAGCCAAGTTTACTGGCTCTAATCGCAGCACTCAGGAGGCTAAGGCAGGAGGATTGCTACAAGTTCAAGACCAGTCTGGGCTACACAGTGAATTCCAGAACAGCCTGGGAACTTTTAACTTTTTATTTGTTTATTTTTATTTTATGTGTATGAGCGGTATACCTGCATATATGGAAGTGCACCTATGTCATGCAATGCCTTTGGAAGCCAGAAAAAGGCCATCAGATACCCTGGAACAAGAGTTACAGATGGTTGTTCGCCATGTGGGTGCTGGGATTTGAACCCAGGTTCTCTGCAAGAGTAGCCAGTGTTCTTAGCCACTGAGCCATCTCTCAAGCCCCTAAGACCCTATCTTAAAATAAATAAATAAATAAATAAATAAATAAATAAATAAATAATAAATAAATAAGATTCAATCCAAACACAGTGGTTCTCTTGATGAGGGTTCTTACCATGCATTTGTTGTGTCTTCCAGTGGTCCTAAGCGCTATGACTGGACTGGGAAGAACTGGGTTTACTCTCACGATGGTGTGTCACTGCATGAGCTGTTGGCCAGGGAGCTGACTGAAGCCTTAAACACCAAATTGGACTTGTCTTCCTTGGCCTGTTCCGGAAAAGGCACTTGACGGCCTGACCAATTCAAAGACATTAAAGCTGTCAGGCCAAGACCCCAGCTTCCTTCTGCAGTGGAGCGTCTGTTTTTTTTTCCATTCCTGCTTTTGAGAACAGTTACATTGTGTGTGACAGCTCTGTGAAAAGACTGTGTCACCTCCTACCCCACCTCCAGAGCTGACTTTTCATTTCTATAGAGGTTTGTTAAGATTGTCTAGTTTTCTCCTCCACAAGACCCCTGATCTCATAGAATGTCTTATACTATACCTGAATAGCGTAGCTGCCTTACAAAAAAGGAAAAGTTCATTAGAAACTAAGAGTTCCCACTCTTCATTGTTTGAAGGATTTACTGAAGACCTCTATGAAGAGCAACTGTTGTCTGAAGGAGACATGCTAAGAAGTAGCTTGTAAATATCCCCAGGATTCCTCTGTAGACTTCCAAGCCCTTTAGCAGTGAAGTATCTAAAGAAACAATCAGCAGACTGTCCCTGCTCGTGATTTATGATGGCAGAGTGTGGCCTACACTGGGTTATCATGAAGGCTGGCTGCTTTTGCTTCCATGTTCTCATAGATATATTTAAAGGTCATGATAGAATCAGCTACAACATGGACCTGAGAATGTTTTTAAAAAAATTGGACTAGAGGAGCTGGAGAGATAGCGGTTAAGAGCACTGACTGCTCTTGCAGAGGACTTAGGTTCGATTCCCAGCACCCACATGGTGCTATGAACTAGCCTTAACTCCAGTTCCAGGGGAATCTGAGGCCCTCTTCTGACCTCTGTGGCACTGCAGGACACGGGTGCACTCACATGCAGGCAATACACTCCTACACAAAATAAAATATAATAAAAACAAAATATTAAGGGGCTGGAGAGATGGTTCAGTGGTTAAGAACACTGACTGTTCTTGCAGAAGACCTGG